TTTTGTGCGTTGTGAAGCTATATCAGGGTGTCTTCGATTTAGGTCAAGTAAATCATCGTTACCAATAGAATTTGAGTGCTAAATAAATAAATAAAAACTTAATAAAAATTATAAATGAACACGTAAAGGAAGTCGTCGCATACATCAGAATTTCTCGAGGTAACTTCATTCTTTAACCCATTTAGAATATTTAGTACATCGTAAGCTCTATTTATTATATTTGTCAATTGAGTTTCATTAATTTGAAACATAACAGAATTCCATGAACCTTGGTTAAGGCGCACATCACGATACTGAGAAGCAAATTGAGAAATTTGGCTACAATGGTCAACGACCTAAAATAATTTTATTAATCATTAATCACACCAACACATAAAGAAATTAAAAATAATAATTTAAGCTAATAATTCATACCTTTCCCAATTTGACAAAAGGTGGCTCAGTGGTTTGAATGTAAGGAGATTCTGAATCATCTCTACTTAAGCAAGAACCACCGTATTGAGGATAATTAGAATGTTGCGGCAGAGCAAGAAGACCATGACCAATTCGCGTCCCCTGTCGTTGGTCATACAAGTACGGTGGTGGTGGTAACGAGTGAGCAGAAGGTGGCAAAGGTTGTTGATAATAATAAGGATGTCGATGCTCGACAGGCTGCCATACTTGCCGTTGCGGAACAACTGGCGCCGGTGAGCCATAAGAATTTGAACTCGAAGGAAGAGGAGAAATATCATACGAAGATCTTCTCATCGGTCCTTGACTTGATTCATGATAAGTAGATGGTTTACGAGCTGAAACTTGCTCATGGAAAACAGGATAGTTTTCATTTTTATTTAAAGATTCCATCGAAGTGGAGCTTTGTAACAAATTATTATGTTGGTTAAGAGTGATCGATGCGTTATGAGCGGCAGGATTCAGAACTTGCCGCGGCTTTGGGATTTGTATCGAAGGAGGTAAGGGAATGGTCGTATCTTTCAGAATCGATGTTAATGGTGGAAGATGTGGACCCCCTTTTTCGTTTGAGGGTTCAATAATCCTATTAAGTTTATAAAATTTAAATAAAATAAAAATTGACATGAATGAACGATTATATGCGTTTTAAAGATACTTAAGATACTTACGGTGGTGATGGTAAGCTATGAACATGTTCGATTGAAGAATTGGATGTTGGAAATTCGGGAATTTTCTTCGGTGGTGGCAAAAAACAAATCGAATTTACATCCATTATATTTCAATTCTTTAATGATGGTTTCGTGCTGCAATTTAAAGAAATCAAGATAAGCATAAATTACAACAATCATCTAAGTTGAATTCGAAAAAGATGTATACCAAACCACAAATAAAATTTTTGAGAAGTATCGATTATACTAAAGATAATAAAAGGGAAGAATTTCACGAAATCAAGTTTAAGATACTTTTTAATATAACAAATATATATCTCGAGCACTAATGTAAATATAAAACAAGATGTTCACTAAATAATATTCTAAAAAGGACTGTTTATTAAGAGGTGGTAAAAATTTCTCAGCAAGGGGGAGAAGAGTTATTTATATAGTAAAATAATAATAAATCGTCAACCGATATTATACTGTATTTGATGATTGAGCATTCGTCGATGCAGATAAACAACCGTATTCATCATTCATGTATATACACGATTTGCAATGAATAGTGATATTTTAGTGGTACAATGAACGGTCCAGATTTGTTCTTTAATCTAATTTATGTTACAGTATTGTAAAAATTCTTTTAAGTAAAGCAAAAATGGCTCATATTTGACAGTTATACATTGTATCACGATGATATCGTCGAAATCTGAATCACCCCAATTCTGTGATTGTATTCAGAAGTCACAGAAACTCAAATTCCATGATACATTAAGTCCACGATTTCACGATTCCACATACGTACGACGTATGTATTTATATTCGTACTTACTAAACCAAATTTAGATTGCTAAAAGAAAAGAATTTGCCCGCCGTTTATCTTAACAGTTAACTGTTAAGCGGATTACGTACGTACGTACGTACAGTACATGCTTGAATGATGCAAGTGATATTCTATGTTTAAATTCTAACCTAGATGAATCGTTTAATTTGCGCATATCACTTGCATTTATTGTACGTAGCAAACGTTAAGCTTACATTTTTATCAAATGATGCATAATTAAAAATCTTATCTACCTTTCTTTTTTTAAATATCGATACGCATGCTCGCGCATTTACTTTCACTTTTCGGATGAGATATTGAAATATTTAATCACATTGACCGATTGAACTTTTAATACCTGATACGGAAATTAATATCAATAATCAATCCTTTTTAAGTTCATATGTACGCACACTCTCATTTATTCATCTCACATCTCACATTCTAAGACATCTCACATCTCACGTTAATCCAATTCTGGTTAGGTTATTAATCTATCAAGCGATCTTGTACCTGAACATTCTAAATAACTTACTATAAAATGATAGTCAAAAAGTAAATGCATGGTGTACCAGATGATCGACCGTGTGGAACTCCTCTTTTTTTGTGTATTAACGTTAATACGTACGTACTTACGTACGTACGTATGTACTGTGAAAGCTCGTATGATTTTTGAATTAAAGTAGTGAATATATAATTGGATGGTTGACATGAAATGAATGCATATACAGATAATCCCGCTTGTATAAATTACAGTATGAATAAAAGAGACGAATGATACTGTTAAAAACATTCACTTGTGTTCCCATGTTTCTTTTTCTCTAGTTGTGCATTCCTCGGTCATGTCTTGAATAATTTTAGCGTTAGATATGTTTTAACAACTTCTTCAATCACAACATCTTGATTATAACATATTTCTTGTAAATTCAGGAATGTTGCAACTACTTCCTGATTAAGATGTAAACTTAGTTTATTTGCATAACTATTTAATTATTCTCTATGTTCATGTATAGTAAGGTGCTTATGAAAAATAACGGATCGACATTTATGCCGTAAATCGCATTTATTTAGTCATTTTATGCATTTTACTTCTGTAATTTGCATAGGTGGCTAAAATAGGTTGTTAAAAGATACATACGTACGTACGTACATTGACGGCATTAGCTGTTAGGCTTCTCGCATACCAAAGAGGGTCAAGTCGTGTGTTGTTAAAACAATATCTAAATATCAAGTAAAATACATTGTAATTCATCATAATACATCATTGCATCTTAGTTTTGAGTTATTTCGAGTTTCGGAACAATAGCAAAAACTGCAGAGATAAACTAATGCATAAATGTAGAGCTGGCTTTAAAAGGAAATGGTGATAATTTATGAAATTCTTGTAATATTGATAAGTTCTTGAATAACGAATCTAGTAACTATAAAATTACGTGTAATATACTTTAAGCGTCTTATCATGATCACGTGACTATACGCATTTAAACTCGGCATGTTCCATAAATTTTGTGACAGTCCATTGTTCGCACAACAATGGGAATTCAAATAATGAAGAGAATTTCGAGTCTTTGAATAAGTTACATATTTATAATTATGATCAGTTCATTTATCGTAACGCCCTTGACGTCATTGTGTAGATCTTCTCATGTCCGAACAGTGCAAGGTATTAAGCTTTATATATTTCATAAGTTACCTAAACTTTAGGATTGTGTATAATCTATGTTTAGGGATGGATCAGTATGAAAAAACCGAATTAGAATCAGTCTTTTAACCAGTCTAATGGTTATTCAGTCCAGACTAGTCTTTATAAATAATTAAAATGACTATAAAAGAAAGTGTGTTACATGATCGCTTTTTATTGCGACTGATATATGATTTGGCTAACAAAAAATGGTTAGACTTTTAAATCACTAAGACTGAGAAGGACTAGACCGGACTGATCCATCATTATGTTTTGATCTGTATTTGATGTATTACGAACAAGTAAGGATTTGTTAATGCTTAAATTATATTTCGATACTTATAAAATTTATATTTAATAATCCTACTACTTATACTTTTTTCTAAATAACTCAAATTTTATAATTAAAATAAGTATAAATTTAGGCGGCTGATATTAGAGTTGAGGCACGGAAAATTTTTTTGGGCATGCCTAGGAGGGCATGCCTTTGTCGAGGGCATGCCCCTCTGTTCCCTGGGCATGCCCTCTCTAGATATCATAATTGATTAACTGTTAACCTAACTTATGTCAAATCAACTACGATAATTGACCAATCAAATCAACGAAACTTTATATGTGAGGTTTTTCTATATAAAAGAGCAGGGGCATGCCTTCCTGGGCATGCCCAGGCATGCCTTGGGACACCGTGCCTCCAACCCTAGCTGATATACATACCAATTTGTTATTCGTACCCCCTAGATTTTAAAAAAAAATTTCAAACCTTTGAGCGAAGATATCTCAACAGTTATCTAACCAAATTTGATGATGTTTTTTTTTATTTTTTTTTATTTTGATTCTACAAATTCGTAGAATTAAACAAAAAAATTTCATCGAATTTGGTTAGATAGCTGTTAAGATATCTTCGCTCAAAGTTTTGAAAAAATTCAAAACATATATTAAAACAATTATACCAAAATTTATTAGAACTTTGAATGAAGATATCTTAATAGTTATCTAATTAAATTCAATGAATCTTTTTTTATTTTTTATTTTTTTTAACTTAGGTGATCTTACTTGTAGTTTATTTAGTAGAAAATTTTTAAAAAAATTATAATACAAAAATAAGAAGAAAGCTAATACTCTAAACTACTAGTGTATCTTACTCATATAATCTTAATTTGTTCAGCTTGCTTTATGTTACCCAAGTATGATCTATTACAAAAAGTAATTTATTTTTCTAAAAGAGGTTTTATCTATGTAGAGTAGTTTTTTAAAATCAATAATAGATGTTTTTACACTTTATTAAGATTCTAAGTTTTTTTTAATCTAATTTGTACTAAGTTAAAAGTAGTTAACACTTAGTTTTAGTTAAAAATAAAAATTTTTTTTTTTTTTTTTTTAAAAAAAATAAGGTCTTGCCTCTGTTATTTATTAGATAAATTGTATAGGCATATATACATATAGAATTACAAAAAAATCTGCTAAGAACAGAAAGTTAAGACTAGTTTACCCTCAACCTAGACTCTGCTAGAGAAGGTTAGACCTTAACTAGTCTTTGTTACAAAGTATGATATCAGAGATTGATTTGCAAAAGAGAAATGACTAAACCAATATTCTATTCTGTTATCAGTTTTAATGTTTTTGAGTATTGATATTGTAAGGTTTGTAGGATTGATATGAAGGTTAGAAGTAAAAGAAAGGGTATTTGTAGATATAGATATATTAAAGTTGAAGCTTTGGTATTAAAGAATCTATATATCCTTATAAACCTTTTTGGATATTTTGTGAAGAAGGAGACTTGCTATCGTATATTTTTTACTAGTAGGTTTTTTGATATAGCAGAAGATATTTGCATATAGATAATTTGAAATATAGCCTTAGATTATATATAGAGTAAAATTAGTAAGAGATATAAGCAGATGAATTTAGTTATAAATAATTATATTAAAAATTTCTTGAATTGATGAAGATAGAGAATAGTGATATTGAAAAAAAACTTCATTTGTTGTATTTTGTATAATTAAGTTAATAGAAGTTTGGTTAGAAGGATATTGCTACTAATGTATATTGTCTTCATTACTTGTATTGCATCTTGTACAGTATAGATTAGAATATTTTTAACTATTTCTTTTATATAAATTTAACCTTGTTAGAAGTTTATCTAAGAGGAATTTTACTTTGAAGACTTTAGTTTATATATGTTTAAAATATATTTGTCTTGAGTTAGATAAGTTATTAAAGTTGAGAAACTCAAAAAGAGTATTCCAGTTAATAGTACATCATATAAAGTTAGTTGATTCTATTCTAGTTTGTGAGCACCAGTTTGATAGATTATAAGCATTATTAAGATATCGAATAAATCTGCATAGTTGGTGTTGGATAATATTATTTTGCTAAGTAAGGTAGTATATATCTTGTCTAATAAGGTTGTAAGAAATATTAATTAAATAAAAAGTAAAGATATTAGATAAGGTGAAGAGAGCTGAAGTAGTAAAATGGATTTGTTAATTTTTCTGAGCTATAATAGTAGTAATTACAATTCAAGCTAGTTGGTAAATGAGTTTACTAGTAGCAAATTTAGAATTGAGATATGTTTTAGAGCAGATATAGTTATAAGTCTTTTGAATTGAGGCTAT